TGTACATGTAGTTTAGCATCTGGGGGGTGTTTCACAAAGCCTATTTTTAATGACAAATGCAGAATTCTGTAACAAATCTGCTGATAACCAATCAGAAGCAAGGATTTCAGTAGCTTATAACAAAAACTATCATTTGTCACTGATGACAAGTTTTGTGAAACACCCACCTGGAGTGTTAGCCATGAATTCTTCTGAAACTATCAGTAAATGTGCATGTACATGTACTGTACACTGTACAGTGCATGTACATATCGTCCCTATTTTGACGGTAGTGTGGAAAATCGTAACGCAATGTGAATGCAATTTTTTTTCACTACCGTCACTTCGTGAAAACAGCGACAATATGTGTACATCAGGCACATACTTGTACCGTAAATCTCCATGTATAAGGCACACTTTTTTGCCGCCGAAAAAAATTGAAAGTCGGGGGTGCGTGTTTTTTATTTAGTTTCGATTTATGGCGCTATGCCTGGCAATGTCTCCCAGCTCAGTTTGAAAGTAATCTTTCTATTAAATGGATCTCAATATGTAGTTTATAATAATAATTCCTCCAATTTTGCTTTGGCGTACCACAAGGTTTTATCCTAGGGACTCTACTGTTTTTAATTTACATTAATGATCTTACACGTTCTTCTAAAAACGGCATTGTTACTTTTTTTTGTGACAAGTTCACAAGCACAAATCGGCGCCTTCAACCGCACCTCGATGTTAAATGAAAGTCCTTCCCCGCGTGTGTTTTCGTTTTGGCAAGTTTTTTTAATAATTTTTTTTGTCTTCAAAATATAGGGGTGTGCCTTATACACAGGTGCGCCTTATACACAGAGATTTACGGTACTCAAATTTGATTTTGATTTGATTTGAAGTGACATGTTTAATTGATTTTTAAAATCTTTGTACTCATAAAAAACTGAATTGTGATATTTAACAATAATAATGAGAGAAAGTATTACATGTACATATAAATTTATGTAAATTAATAATGATAAATATCCCAACCTAATTTTGAACGTATTACATTTACGATAGAAATTAAAATGAATGTCTGTGGTCTTTGTGTGAATTATTAAAGGCATCTGGTAATAACATTATAAATAGACAATCAATGGTGAATATGAATACATGTACAATAGGAATACATAGGATGCATTTATGCTGCCTATCCCCCATGGCAGTGTGCAGTGTATGGACGGACCTTCAGAAGATGAGGCAAGGCTTAAACGACTGTCGCTCTATATTATGGAGGTCATGTCTCCCATCTGCGTAATGTGGAATGCGTGTCTTATTCCAGCTTAATGACCGGTCACTTCAAAATGAAGCCAGAGACAGAGACAGAGACATGGAAAAGGAAGAGAATGAGAGAATGAGAGACAGAGGAAGAGAGAGACAGAGGAAGAGAGAGACAGAGGAAGAGAGGATGAGGGAGAGGGTAAGAGAGAGAGGGAGAGTGAGAGAGAGAGGGGGGAAGGGAGAAGGAGGGGAGAAGAGAATAGGCCTTAATACAGTGAGAAATTACTAAAGTATGAAGATACAGTATGTTTCAATGCAAACGGAAATTGTGAAGTGGAGCAGGGAGGTGGGAGGACAGTAGGACCGAAAAATAGGCAGACAGACAGAGGGGAAAGATTAATACAGAAATGAAAGAGATAAGAAACAGTGATACTGAGAGAGAGAGAGAGACAGAGAGAGAGAGAGAGAGAGAGAAAGAGAAAGAGAGATAGAGGTAAGTGGACCTAGAAATTGATGGAAAGGAGGCGGGTTTAATGATAATGATCTGCAAGAAGAAGCACAAATACACACAGAAAATGATAGAGAGAAAAAGAAAGAGAAGAGCCCCCCCCCCCCCCCACACACACACACACACAACAAGAGCTGAAATGGATAATGCAGCAAAACAGGAAGAAAGGATTGTAAAAGTCTACAAGGAAATTGGTATCATCAATTTTTTTAATGTACCAGTAAATGGTCTCAAAATCAAATGTACATTTCGATCTCAAATACAAGGCAAAACTGTACCTGTACTGGTAATTCTGCTACATCACTTTTACCAGTACTGTAAATGAGGAAACTCATTTATTTTTTGTAATGAATTTCAGCGAACAAATGTATTTGATTTTATTGATAAATTTCTGATCAATTATATTTCATTTCACAACTTCAAAACCTCACAAACAATTCAACAAAGTCATAAAATTGTATTTTGTCTTCTAATATCCAAAAAGCCAAAAAATTTAAACTCAAAAATCGTCTTAAATAAAATGGTAATGCCCTTTTGTATCTCAACAGAAAATTTGGAAGTCCAAAGTTGACCAACATGTATTGGAGCAGTGTGAGGGACTTCCTTGTATTCGTTGTCTTGTAAGAAGAAGGTCAGAGAGAGGTGAAGAGAGAACAGAGACTATGGAATGTCTAGTGACCTAAGATGATACTACACAGTCATCACTATGTGATGTGTGTAATGATGTAGTGAATTACAGGCCTGTTTTCATTAGCCCTGACAAAGCTTAAGCTTGAGATACTGTGTTGTACATGTGGTGATTCAATGTTTGATCCGACAGTGACAACTGCTCTGGGCTTCTTTCGTCAAAGGTATGTACATGTATAACTGTAGATTCCACACTGTTTCTTTCACAATGCAATCACATGACCAGAACTCAACTTTATCTTTATTAGCTGCACAAGTAAAAGTATTCCTTTGGAGAAATTGGAGAGCTCTAAAATACTGTGCAGTTGAAACATTGAACGTACATGTATAAACTACAAGTTCAATATACACAATGAACTCGCTTTAGAATTGATCGCCGCAAAAAAGGTGTTAGAAGGTATGACCCCCGAGACCGTGTCCTCCTGGACAAGCTACCGCTGGCCAGAATGCATTTAGAATACAAAGCTCCTTATTCTGACAATATAGCACATTTTCCCTGATCCAATTACCAATTTCATTTGGTTGGATGCTATTATGTTAATGCACAAATGCATCATAAATGTACATGCACAGTACAAGTGACTGACATACATGTACAGTGTACCGGTACATGTAATTTGTGACAAGTGAAAATATATACATTCAAACTTACTTTGGGAAGAGAGAGGTCATCAATAATGAACGACACTTCCAAATGGATAGCAAAAAGATGTTTATTGTATGTTTGTATCTTTTTTTCTTCTCCTACTCAGTATTGTACATGAAAGTGGTAAAGTAAAAAGGATTTTTTCACTCTGTAATATCAAAATGTAATTTGGGTACAAATTATGGGTCATTCCATTTATTTATTTATTTTTTGTTATTAAAAAGACCTACTGTACATGTACATGTACTGTGTAGTTACAGTACATGTACGTGCCAAATTTGACCACATTTTTCCATTATAATTTCTTGAAGTCTTATTTCTACTACCAGTAAACATGTGTGATGCATGTACACAGTTCTAGGACAATTACCCCTTGGACAATCACCCTCCCCCCCCCCCCCTTTTTTTTTTTTTTTTTTAAATCTGCTTTCAATCAAACCAACTCATTACCGGTATCTGGGTAGACTTCCCCTTTATTGAACAGGGGGGGGGGGGGTATCGTCCTTGGGGGATAATTGTCCGAGGGGGTAATTTTCAGGGGTGAGGGATAATTGTCCTTGAGGGTAATTGTCCTTGGGGGGGGGGTGGTTGTCCCCGGGACTAATATTTCTGGGGGTGATTGTCCAGGGGAGACATGTACATACGATATGTACTATGTACTGTCTGGAACTTTCGTCATCTTTATATTATGATCATTACTGTTGTATGTTGTTTCAATGTTATTGTTGTTATTACAACCTTATTCTTGTAATAATATTTCTATTTTGTTTTTTGTGATTGTACTATTTTCCTGTTCGGGATATTTTCTACTACTTGTGACACATTGTTCCTTTTTACACTTTCACAGAATATTCACTTCCATTTCTGCTAGTTTCTCCTATTATCATTTGATTTTGTGACTTTTCTTGAATTCACCCTCTTCTTTCATGTACATTTACCATTCTTCCTTCTGTTTTTTTTTTAAACCCTGATAGTATGAAATAACTCTGAAAGTGACAGGGGTATCAGTCATTTTAGCATAAATTTTCATTTCTATATTTTAAAATTCATGGTCAATTTGTCATGTTACAGAAATGTTGGTGTACAATGATTTTTTTACAAACTTCAGAAATGTGTGATACAGCCTACTTTACATGTAGGCTACATGAATACAATTAGGTCTACAGCACACTACAGTGACTATGTACACGATCCTCCTGTGATCTGATTTTTCACATTGTCATTTGTATTAGACATAGAGTCTAGATATAAAACAAGCATCATCTTCCGGCGCTCGTTATTTTTGGAGTATCCTCATTACGGTAGATAACTTCAGTACTTCACACAGGTGTGCACCTGCCCGCAACCGACCATCGGTATGCACTTGTATTGTGCAGCGGTTTGCTGTGAAACCTGTGAAAAAGTACACTATCAATGTTTTTCCGAAAAATACTCCAAAAATAACAAGAAAAAAGACATAGGTCTACATGTAACAACTTTCAACTCAGGATCTTTATTTGGACATTTAATGAATTTTTACTTCATTTGGGGTATGTTTTAGTAGGGTATCTCCACGTCGGAGTTACGGGTGAAATTTTGGATAGGTTTCTGAACAAGCGCCCATCTTCCTGATTGATGATTAACAATGATAAGAATACCCACAATCACAATTGGGAAATAGTGGGCTAATTTGCACCCGTCCAAGCTAGTTCGTGATGAGCGTATTGGTCTGGTGAAAATTTGCAACTTCGGCATGATGTCTGATGAAGTCAACCTGTCCTAGATCTACCTTGCTTTGGCTTTGCAACAGAGACCGAGTCTACTCTAGTCTTACTCTTAGATCTATTACAAGATGATACTGAAAAAATTAAGACGTGCATACTTTAGGTTAATATAAAATCTGTGGTTTCATGCTTATTTACAACTTTACACAAAAAATACATAGATATCTACCTGTTTTGCAATGTCTGTGAGAGCGTCTTCCTCAGCCGTGTAGGCCCGTTGAGGTCTGGGCCTCCTTCCCGACGTCCCTCCGGGTGACGGCCCGCTGTGATTTGGCCCGACGGCACTCACGTCCAACTCTACTGCGTCTACAGACATGTTATGTTTTTAGCCGAAACTTTATCAGGAATGGGCTGAAATGAGAATGAAATTCATCCGTATAATTGCAGATTGCCTCCAAGACTTTCTGAAGGTGTTCGGATACTTTCCAATGATGAATCGGACCGGTATTTCAAGGTGAGTTTTATATTACAGGTCATTTCGTTGAGTTAAATTGAGGATCAGTTGCGATCCGGAACAATTTCCGTGTTTCTTTCCGCGGATTAATCCAGCTTAACGTCTGCTCCTCGACAGCGATATGATATTAACGGTCTAAACATTAAAAAGTTAAAACACCACTCCATCCGTGTATCTGTATTCTTAAAATCAAAATAGTAATATTTCACAAATATTCCAATATTCTGTTGGGATGTGTCGTCCGTTTTTCGTTCAGCCCTGGTTCACCACCTATCACCGGTACAATTTCGGGCGTAAATCTATACACGAACTCGTACCTTTTGCATGCACACCGCACCACGTCTGTACTATACGGGAGAGAACCCGGATGTAACTACAATGATCTACGCCATCTGCGTTGAGACCTTTTTCTATAGATCGAGACCTATATATTTTTTTTTAAACATTTCATATAACCAATATTATCTTCTTATTTTACAGTAACTAGTCAAGTTTATCGTTGTTGTGTAAGTGCTTTAAAGATGCTTCAGTTTTATTTTATATCTGCATAAAATAGCAGCCTTCCCGGCTGCTATCGACTCAAGCATCCTTGCTTATGATAGTTGGTCTCTGCATTTATCTTGATTATTTTTACTTACCCCCATACTTTCAAGCTTTCAATTATGCATTTTTATTTGTGTGTATTAAGTTGTCACTCTTTATGTAAATCAAATATATTATATACTATACTATTATTGTTATTGTAACAAGCTCCACCTCTGCTTGTTGTATTTTCTTTGAAATAATTGTTTTAATTAATATAGCTCTAATCATTTTCCTTCATGTTAATTTAGGGGTGAACGAACAAACTCTTCATTCTTGATCTTTTATATAACCTGTTTCTGTGAGAATTACACTAATTACTTTTTCCTGATGTCATATAGGGAGAAAAATATCGCTGGCCATTAGAAGTTTTCTTCAAATTGTTAAATACATCTTGGCAATAATTTATAATCATTCATATAATCATTAATTATGATTTGCAGTATTGATCCAATTGCATGGGGGGTTGTGATGTAGTTACAGGGGTTACAGGAGCACATGCCCCAACCGAACGGCAAATTGGAGTAAAAGGGGAGGGGAGGGAGAGAGAAAGAGAGAGAGAGGGAGAGAGAGAGAGAGAGAGAGCGGGGGGAGAGAGAGAGGGGGAGATGGGAGGGAGAGAGAGAGGGGGATGGAGAGAGAGAGAGAGAGAGAGAGAGAGAGAGAGAGAGAGAGAGAGTGGGGGAGAGAGAGAGAGAGAGAGAGAGAGGGGAGAGAGTGTGGTGTGTAATAAGGCAATATGAACAGAAAAATCAATAGCCCGGCCCCATTAAAACCTATTTGACATAGAACTAATCGAAGTATATATCGATGGTACAATTTGCGTTCGTGTGCCCCCCCCCCCACCCCCACCTCCTGCGCAATTATGTTTCAATGAAAAGGCATAGGCATATTATGAACACAAGTTTTCAGGAGCCAGTCGTCTTTTGCTTTCGCATGAATATCTACTTAATAGTTGTTTAATGTTTTGCAAGCGATTGGAGCCTTAGAAACATTACACTTTATTACAATGAAAATGTAATTTCGAAAGCCGCCACCTTCTACACAATAATATATATCACACCTTCTATTTCTATTCTTCAAAGGGCTATGGTATGTACTGAATAAACGTACATCGAGGACGATTGTGGTATAGCGCCATCTAGCGTTATATGTGCGAACAACCGAGCATCACCAAGGTTTTCCAATGATCTCCACGGATTTCTTCGTAGAGATCAGAGAGGTTCAATTTTCACTTAATTATCCGGACTCCCTCACAAAGCTGGTCAAAAAGGATGAGTTTGAATAGGCCATTTGAAAATTTTGAAAGTTTGAAAATCCGATTATCTGCCTCTTAGGAAGTTTAATTTTGAAGATATGAATGAGCATCGGCTAAATTCCAGCCTTTTTCTAAAATTTTACTTCATAGAAATTTAAGTGAAAATGAAATGCGAGTCTTCTATAAAATTGAAAAGACACAACGGACAAAATTGCATAAAGTATATCCTGCCAGTCCAAGATTTTAAGAGTAATAGGACAGATATATTGACCGTGGTTAGTCTATGCCCCCCCCCCCCCCCCCCCCCAATCTGAAAACGAAAATTATATAACGCATGGTAACATGTTTCCGTCTTAAACATTGTGTTTATTGTCTGATGGTGTCTGATATTCATTTGCTACAAAGAGTGGTGTTTCGGTGAGCACAGGGCATCATATTACCAAATCCACCATATTGCTATAACCCCCGCCCCCAACAACAAAACAACATAATAATAGAGAGAGAGAGAGAGAGAGAGAGAGAGAGAGAGAGAGAGAGAGAGTTAAATAGATAAACAAAAAAAAAGTGATAATTATAAATGGATACAAATGACAAATAGGAAATTTAAAGCAAAAATGAACTATAAAATAATGTTTCTTACAACAAAACAAAACCGTAGTTACACTTACTTCTTGAGTTAGGCTATCAGGCTTCATCATATGTTTTAATGAAATTCTCAAAAGTGCATAACGAAAATCAATCAGTCTCTAACTATAAATCACTTACAAGGTTGTTTAAATACACATTGTTTAAATCCAATTCCTCATTGATTATATCTGCATTCAGTTAAAAATAAAAAATAAAATTGTTATGCTCCAAATCATATACAAATGCATCAAATTTATGGAAGATGGCAAACAAATAAAAATGACGCCGTTCGAGAAAATGAGATAAGTTTCACAAACTTTTAACAGTTCTAGAGCAAACCGAACTTTTACAATAAGACCATCATTTCTGTTTTATTTCAGAGTCATAGAGAGATTCAAGGCAAGCCCGTACAAGCTTTTTTCATGGGGGGGGGGGGGGGGGTTCTTAGGGTTGCCAACTTGTTTTCGTGGGAAAATATTGAGCGGTGAATTAGCCAGCGAATAAGCGGGGGGGGGGGGGAGGGGTAGTGAGCACTATTTATTTTTTGCTCAACGGGGGGGGGGGGGGGGGGGTATGGAACACCCATTTACCCCCCGAACCCCTAGTTTGTACGGGGGTGCAAGGTGCATACATAGCGTCTACAGTATACCTCATACACACCAACGAGACCTACACCGGACCGACTACAAGCCGACCCTGCATGGCCAATAACCGATCGGTTAATGTAGTCAGTTTGGTGGTGTGGCTGAGGCCCGGCCCCCAATCCGGGGTCGGAGGGACCGCATGCGTGTTCCCAAGATGTCCGGTAAGGGGTACTTTCACGCACCAAAGTCCGGCTCGTAGTACACAAAAATCCGGCCTGTATTGACTTTACACACCGAACATAGGGGGGTGTTTTCAAAAGACGGGAACATGCATACTCGTACACTAAATAACACTGAGTGGGGGGGGGGGGGGGCTGAGGTATAATGAATAAAAGCTTTATATTGATGTTGTTATGCTTGTCTTTTTTCTGTTGGTTCATCTTCTTTCGAGGATGTTATCCATTCAGGTGCATGAAATATTGGAGTAATCACTAAGTTTGAAGAACTCTGGGTCTATTGTCATATAAACCGGATAGGCCTAACGCTCCATTTCTGGAAACTTAACCTATATTTCTGCCATGATTACAGCCCAATGTTTACATAGTCGGATAAGTGATTAAACATTAACATTATAATCTTTGAGGTCTCGTGTAAACTTAAATCATATTTTATTCAATGTCCACATAAATCCCGTGACTATAATTTAGTCAAATTTTGTCGCACAATGAATATATTATATTCATAAAAAATGGGCTCAAAGTGTTTTACGGTGTGATGAAAATGTTAACACCCCATAATTATCTCTACTATATCACTTTAATGATCCTTTATAGCGTACAACAATAATCCTGTACTATATCATAATAAATGTTCGTGTTAACTCAATAACAATGTTCAATTCTCTTTCGTTTGCCCTCAGTGCCAATCGGCGCTGTCGCTCGTTCGCCATACCTGCAGATTGGCACAAAACAAAAGGCATAAATTGACGGAGTAATGTTTTGTGCAACCAATTAGTGGCTTGCTAAAAAATGATAACTTCTGGTCTTGATCAGCTCAATGTTAACCTCTTAAAGTACATATAACTTTATATAGTCATGTTGTTTTGCAAGTATACCTATTCCATGATACTTTGATAGATAACATAATTATATGACACATGGAAATTGTTTCTGTGGCATATAAAGATTAGTGTTAATCACACGATTTGCTAATAAGACGTTGTTTAGTTTTCCGAATGCTGTTAATCGATGGGTATAAAGAAACTAGGCTTATATTTTAATTGCTAGCTGGAGAGTTTGGCACTCTTTCCGCTACCGTTTCATCCGCAACATTGAAAGTGACACCGTCACCACTCGGCGTTACTGAGTCACTTTCTGTTGATTCCATTCCATCCGGCCGCCCGTTACTCATATCTGCTGCATGTGTACTTTTGCGTCCGCAAGGGAAAAGGCTGACGAGATGGCGCTTCATGTAGGCTCGGTTCAGGGCGTAGAGAAAAGGGTTGAGCGCCGCGTTGAAGAGAACTAGGATGTCGGTAAGCATGTTAACGACGATATGAACGACGACATTCGCCCGGTAGAATTGACCATTGAAAAAATATGGCCATATTGCCAAGTAGTAGCTATGCCAGTATCCCCAACAGAGGAAGAATGAGAGCGAAACTCCCCCGATCAATGCTAGGAAGCGGGTTTTACGCGCAAGGCTCCGGCGACCAGTCGGAGACAGCGTCGTAGCGTTACGCTTCGTTGCCGCAGCCCTGACCGTCAAACCGAAACAAACGGCGATGATGACGACGGGGATGACGAAGGTGAAGATGAAGAAGAAGATGTGGATTGCATAGACCGTCTTCAGACTGGTGAATAAGTCGACAGGAATGGCTGTACACGCAGTGAGAAATCCAACTGGGTTTTTTTTCACAGAAAAAAAGGAATGGGAGAGAATAGCTGTCATTATAGAAGTAATAGTGCTTAAAATATAATTGTTATAATTTTAATATACACTTCATTTTAAATGAATTTGGATTGAATTTGAAATTGAATTTGAAGTTAAATTTGAAGTTAAGTTTATTTATTCATCTTTCTTATAACATAAATTCTTTTTCCATTGGATTAAGGTTAACACTGCACTTTAAGCCAGAGTGGTTGCTTCACGAAGAAATCCTTATAAACAGTTTATCTGTCGAGAGGTGCGAAAATGCAATCAAAGGAAAATATGTAAATGAATTTTGAATCTTTCTCCAGGTTCGTTACGACATGCACATTCGTATAACTCCAACCATAAGCCAATAATTACGACCTCGTTGGAGGGACTATGGGGATGCTATACCCGCCCCCTGTCGGCAAATAAGGAATCTTTATAACCCTGTCTTTAAAAATCGCCCAAAATATTATTATGATCTCACCTGCCCAAACAATGCCACAGGCGACGAGGGCGTTCTTGACTGTTCTCCTATTATGTAGCGACGCAGGACGTGCTATGATGATGTACCTATCCACGGCTAAGGCCGTTATCATGAAACAGTTAACCACCATAGTGGTCTGCCATAAGAGAAAGAGAGACATAATATAATTTGTTGTGATATCTACATCCTTTCACATGGGGGGAGGGGGCAGGGCCCTGGGAACGATTTTTTTACCGGGGCCGCTGAGATATATATACTGCGAAAGTATTTTCGCAACGACTCAGCTTAGCCAGTCGCTGAATAAGCGGGGTTGGGGGGGGGGGGGGGGGGGGTTGTAGGACATTTTTTTCAGGGGGGGGGTCCTCGGAAATTTAAAAATTTGCACCCCCCCCCCCTTGAGCGCCGGGGGGGGGGGGGGCAACCCCCCAAAAAGGTAAAAATCACGTGATTTTTTTTTCTCAAGGCCCCCCCCCCCCCTGGATCCGCCGCTGCCATTTCCTACCAGGTATCCTTTTACTTCACCAGCATGAGTCGAGGGTGTAAAATTAAATAATTACCAACAGAGGAAAGAAGATAATAACAGTGTAGACCAAGGGTAATATGCTCATTAACTTATGATCCGTAGGATTTCATGTATCAAGGCTACCATATTATTTTGCTAGTCATTTTCTTGAGCGTAATCACCGTTAATGATGATGGATTAATACTGGCACGTACCATAGGATGTCAAAGACGTTCAAGCCACGTCTATTTCGAAACATGATAGGCCTATAAATTTCCGTAAGTTGAAGCTAGTTTGATTCCTTTTAAAGGCCCACTGCACTACTTGTAGCTACTTGCGCCCTCTATATAACAAACAATGCCTAATCGGTGACCATTGGTCCCCCATGATCCTCTTTTTCTTATGTTAACTGAGAGCTGAGTTGATGAGATAACCACCTGTCCAGTGACCTTGCAGGGCAGTCTAATCCCTCCTGTAAACTACGGCAGATAAGCTTTAAGTTATAATGTGCCTATTTGGCAAAATGGTCGAAGGACAATAATTCTGATAAGTTTGTCTTATAACAAAAATTACAATGTAGTTATTGCTTTATAGAGTCACTCAATAATTGAAATAAAATGTCAGGTTGACCTACCGCTTCACAGCCGGCCAGCAGTTTCCTTATCCTCGAGTCCGTCTCAACGTGGAAGATTTCCTTGTGAAGATATATCCCGAAGGTGATGACGTCAGTCAATCCCCAAACCAGAAGGAAAAGGAAACTTGAGACACAGAGACTGACGATGTACACGTTGTAGACGGTGTTTCGTAGCTTCTTGCTCCGCAGGATGACAAAGAGAACGAACCCGTTGGCGACCAGGCCGACGACCATAATGATGGTGACCAGAGAGAAGGCCACCCGGAATGTCGTCAAGAGCTGATTGGCCAACTTGACCACGTCCGCAGCCTCGTCATAGTCCAAATTCGAAGAAGACATGTCCTCGGTGTCCGAAGCCATGTTAGAACAGGTGACCGTAACTATAGCACTGGAAGACGATAACCTAAAGTTTGTGCCTTTCTTCACTGCCTGATGCACGACCTAAATACATCGATCAGAATGGATCACCACCAGGTACCAGCAAACCGTTTATAATCTACATCATAATTATACTTCATCGCAGAAACCTGTGTCCCGTCAGACAGCTAGTTCGAAGGACACCATCAGTCGCGTCGCTCGAAAGACTGTCGCGCCGAAAACATTAGCTTACCTGTCTAAACTCTTAACAATAATAATGATCGGTATGGATAATCGAAGTCAGATTTGCTTATATTTGATATCTGGTTTGTATTCTATCCTCTCATCAGCACGATATAGGCCCCGTTCACACTATCGAAATTAAAACGCTCTCAGCTGGATTAGCACTCTTGCGCCCGTTACACAGAAATACGTCGTATCAGTAACTGATGTGCCAAAAAATGCACCATTAATTCAATGCTGTTTTGCACTGTTCATTTCATATTCACCATTTCTACGAGATAATTTTCAGTGACAAGGTGCGTCAAAGACAACGCTGATCACTGACGCAGTTGTACTTCAACAGATGTCACCTTCGTGCACAACCAGCATTGCGACACTTGAGTGTGAAGATAATTTCTGCCAGAATTCATATAGGTCTACAATAATATTCAAAGAGTACTAAGACCCAAATTGCATAAACAACAAAGAATTACGTTAAGTGTGAGCGTAAACGAAGCCTCCAGTAAACTATGCATTCTCCTGGGGAGTTTTTGAAGTGTGAAAGGGTCTCGTTTATCTCTGTGACTTTCTCCGCTGATAGCGGATGTCTACTTCAGTCGTTGAGTAATGACAATCGGATGACATGTGAAACGCTTTGTTGTCCTGTTGCATGTATCTTATCATCCCGATTGTCACATTTTCCGCTATAACAAATTTGCGCAAAGATAATCAAATACCATGAACGCAGAAGCAACAGCAACAGCTATAAAATATTGTACGACTTGTTATTGGTAACAAGCTTCATGAAAAAGGGGCTTTAATGTTCATGTACAGTATATTATATTGACATTTCTTGAATAAAAGTTACTACGTTCCAATTATTTCTTGTGTTGGAGAGAAATTGGGCCCAAGAACGAAAGGTGGTCTACCGGTAGGTTCGTGAAATAAATAAGCAACTCATGTCAGGAGAATCGAAATTCATATTATTGAAGGCAAAATGGGGGTTGGGGTGAAATATGCCCCTACTTGGCAATTCCGTCCGACCCTCCCTCGAGTGTTAACTCCATCTTCCTTTTGATAATAAAGGTGTTTCCTGTATCTAAAGTACGATCAAGGATGATCATTTCCATCCCAATACCACATGTAGATTAACGATCAAAGAAAACATGGTTAATGTATAATGATGTGAAACTCTGAACAGAACCGACTTTAAAGGTATATGTCCCTTTTGCAGCCAACCTCAAATTTTGTAGAACTTTGCAGGAATTATGAATATGTCATGTATGTCCTATCTGTGAAATTTAAACGTTAGCAGTGTCCTCATATTCAAATTATGCAAGGAAACCCGTTTACTTGCTAGACTTCACTGTCAGACACTATTGAGTGACTGACTGGCTTTTTTTCTTCTTTGGTAATAACATACATGAAAAGAGTTGTAAAGGGTACATGAGCATTTGTCTACATCAATAACCCACTTCTTGTGATGGCCAAGATTAAACTGATTGAATCTTTGCGCAGCATAAAACGTATGACCATTCGGTACAATTATTGTCTGAAAATCAAGACTATTACTTTTGGGCTCTATAGCCCTAAAGTCGATTTGACAACTAATAGTCATTATTTTCCCACTTGGAGACATTTTCAAGCCCCACCTTTTTTAGGGAAGTTCTAAATAAGTATTATCTTTCAAATGCAGTTGGAATTTAACTTTTTCATTTTTTTGGCCTGCAAATGGGACATAGTACCTTTAAGGGGAACCAACTGTGTCTTGGTTTTAATGAAAGCAGGGAAGTGAAAGTAAAGCATAGACAAAAGTTCGAAGGAGCTCCTATAGAAAAGAAGAAACTTGCGAGTTTAATTGAAATCGGTTAAAGTTCTTCTTCTTCTTTTGGTTTCCTCCAGGTTTGGAGAACTGCGGAGTTGTTTCCTTCGCAGATTGAGTAAAGACAGACAATAATAATCGTGGTATAAATTATAATGTCGCAGATCACAAGATGCGCAAATGACAGCTTATGCAGAAGCTGCTTTGTTCACAAAAGATCGTTTCAAGTGCATTTCTAGGATGCATGCTAGGGGTGCCGATTTTTTTTTTCTCTCCGAAGAAGAATTTCAATCATTCTCTTTGCCCAAGATCTAATTAGTATTTCACATAATTATTATGAAACACAGAAACATCAAATGCAGGACTGTAGACCACCCCCCTCCCTCCTCCCCCTCTCTCTCTCTCCCCTTCTCTCACCCCACCTCCCTTTCTTTATTTCTCTCTCTCTCTCTCTCCTCTTCTCTCTCCCTCTCTTTCACTCATTGTAATGAATCTCTTTGTCTCGCTGTCTCTTCTCCCAACCCATCCGCATTATATCCACGGCCTAAAATTAATTTAAAAACACAAATGAAATCCATTGACTTTAAGTAATAGGCCTAAATAATTTAACACTCATAAATTTGTTGTTCTTAAGTGTTTTCTCAAGCACATAATATTATTTTCTCTATTTGTCTACATTTCTATTATATTTCTATATATATTTCTCTATAAATTATGTAGGCCTATATTTTATATCTCTTTATGCCTACATTTCTATTTTGCAGTGTTTTAGCAGGGACTTGATAGAGAAGGATTGGAATCAAGCCGCTCTCCTTTGACCCCTTGCTCCAAGCCGCCGAAAAGTTATGCGGTATTCTGCAACTGCTGACCAGGTGGTGAGATAAAAGAGCGCATGAATTTCAGGATTTAGAATTCCTACATCAGAAAATGGTATCACAGCAACTGTTCGCTGTCCCTTTCAATGATTTCTCATCCATTGTTGAATGTGTAAAGAGTAGAACAAGCGAACACAAACTTGTGTAATTTCATCCTTTTTATTAACTTCAAAAATACAAAAAACACGCAAAAACACGCATTAGCAAACTCAATGTTATTGAAGACTCTAAATCATGGATCAAATAACGGGACATTAAAACATGCACAAATTAGCGCATTATCCTAAACTATTGAGTTTTTGTCAGGATGTAATTTTTCTTTTACCAACTCTGGCACACAAATAGAAAGGATGGAGTTCTAAATTTGGAATTGTGTTTGATGCACTATTCCCAATACAATCCCCATATGCCGGTAATTTCATATTTCGTAATAAATATGTATGTAAAATTGTATGTTGTTCATGTAAACATCATTGATATCATTGATATGTTGATATGTACAGTCTGGCTTCCCAAAGTCCCCGCAGTGGAAGAGCGGTGTGGAGCATGGAACTTCAAAGCCAAGTGGAATGTTACACATCCCATTGTTACGCTTTAGAACTCACGAATGCGTTGAATAAATTACAAGAGTTTCGCCGCCTTGATTCCAGTCCTTCTCTATCAAGTCCCTGGTTTAGTGAGTACGTAATATAGGCCTCTTTGGAGCTGGTATTTGGCGTTCGAAAACAGTTGAATGACCGTCAAACAAATCAGATTGATAACAAAGATTCTGTAGTCATATCTCTCACCCTCTCCTTCGAACACATATAACTTAAACATGTTAAAGCCATAGACATGAGACAAGTTTTATTCCAGTCGTGCGTTTGACTTATCACCTAATATGAGCGGACATCAGAATCACGACTGTAAAAGGTATAATCATGATTATGATAATCTGAATCTGAATTCGAGTCCAAATCCGGCCGTCTTTTCTTAGTATAGAGTTGATGATTACGATGATTCTGACCTTCGGTAATTTTTCCAATCTCCAACTATTCCTGCATACCAAGATGAACCACCAAAACAATCCCTAATCAAACGATCTATGTTAATGTGACGTATTCACACGGACAACTCTCCAGTTTGTAGTGTACAAAAATATAATTCATTTTGTTTTTCTCCTATGTGCCTATCCCTTGGGGAATTCATCAATATGGATAGCATATTTTTACAGGTAATCTAAAAGGAAAATACCCTCATGTTTTACTCATTTTTTTTAAATTGACATTTTAGTCATTTTATGTGTTTTTAAACAAATGGGAAAGTTGTCCGACACTGTAAACGTCTCAGTGACCTTACCGATCCAGCCAATACAACTTTCCAAATTGATAACTTTCTTATTTTTGTTCGATTTCAACTTACTGTCACAGTTTGTTTTTCGTGCTTTAAGAGCAGGAAATTCTCCTGGGGCTCTAGCTGGGTAGAGATCCCTCTGATGCTTCCCAAACGTTCTTGGGGTTGCTCAGTACTTCTTATGTCATCTTCCACGTATTGAACATCCTAAATCCTTCGACTCCTGACCATAATATCACGTAGGTATGCTGTTCCTCTTTAGGAGTCTTTTCTAAGTTCCTTAAAGGTAATATAAAGTTTTGGGAAATGTTGAAAATTTGGTGGATAGTGGATTTTGATATATTTGGATGCCCCTGTGGATGTATTATGAGCACTAAAAAAATTAGCCCTAAAACACTTCTGCTTTCGAGAAAACTTGACTATAAAAATTTACCGGTGCTCCCGGTAATTTTTAATAAATTTCAAATAGCGCCAACGGCCGTACAATGGTAGCTGCGACCATGAAAATCACAGAATATGTAGTTGTGATATATAATTTCCAAACGGGAATAGCTAATCGGTTGATTTTAGTCAAGAAACGTTAAAGCTTAATTAATATCTTGACCTTGAGAGGGAGTTATACAACATAAAGAGTTTATTATTCACAATTTCATAACTTTAGAATCGATTTCAACCGCGACAACGATCAGTGAATGATATGGGATCGCATATGCTTCCAATATGTTCACTCAGTGAACCAAATTCACGACCCC